GAAATATTTTACATGGCGAAGATTGATTCTGCGAGAATAAATTCAAAATTGTCATATAAATATTCATCACACGCACACATACACACTTCATGTCCAAATATTATATTATTTTTATTATTATATTTTATCAAATATTTTAGTAAAATTTTCGTTATGGAATACATACGCATATATTAAATAAGGTATTTATTTTTTAAAACAAATCGGACTAACTTTTGCGTAATGGAACATGAGCTAAAAGAGGATACAGGCAGATAAAAATGTCACGGATTTTCCAGAATTTATGGGATTAATATCATATTTTATTTGACACACGCAACACATATATTAAAGTGAAGAATAAAGGGAATTTTTTTTTCGTTCTAGGCTTGCATGTTCGCATGCTTACTGTTAACATAAATTACGTGACACTCCCCAAGTTAGTACACCGCACGCCTTTAACGCGCGCGACCATCTTCGCCGTCCTCTCTCTTGTCTCCGCATCCCACAGCCAAACAGCTGTCGACCGACTTCCGTCCCCGGAGCATTCTTCGTTACTATTATTACAAAGATGCTCGTGTTGCTGAGATTGACAAAGCGAAAAAGCTCTTACTGTTATTTTCCACGCAGAAGCACGATTCTTAAACACGATAACTTGAACCATAATTAAATACGATAATTTAAACCTTTAATGTAAATCTCACACAGAATCACATATTCACACATTCAGAATCAATAATGTAAATTACTCCTCAACAGTATTATTAAAATAATTAAGAAATAACAAGTAGTTAATTAGTCAGTAAAAGATCATATAAAGATTGCCAATCGAATGTGTAGCCCCTCTGCTATATATTAAAAGGATTATTCAGCATAAAGTACTTAATTAACCATTCTCGTTTGATTATAATAAGTTGCAAATACATTTTAATTTTTTTGTGATTATAATAAGTTTCAAATATATTTTAATTTTAATACTTAACTTTTATTTTTAATTCTTATCAGTTATAAATTGTTCTTTCTCTCTCTCTCTCTATATATATATTATCGATTTTTTCTATCTACGTCTTATATTCTTTATACAAGTTACAAGCGAAAGGAAATGAGAGGTTTGGCATGTCCGAGGTTGCTTTTTGAATCCGATGTAAATTAAAAGGCGACCAAGTGCCGCACGGGCGTGTCTGTTTCGCGGGTTGACTCGTGCAATTGCACACAAAATTGCTGGCAGTCGAAATAACAGTCATTATGCTTTCTTTTTCTCGCGCGCGCGACCGATATTCGCCGTGGTCGAAAGGAGTTCATTTTTCACAACACGCTGTAAATATGTTGAAAAAATGAAATTACAAGATCAATTTATAGAGAAAGAGAGAGAGAGAGAGAGAAATCGCAGTATTACCAGTGAATTTGCAAAAAAATCGTTTGATTGGCAAATTATTGATTCTTCTATATTGCGATTCCAATTATACAATCAATGAGTCAATGCATGAAGAAAAATTATTTGTATGTATGTATCGTCATTTTGTATGCATTTTTGCTTAAGACTGTGTTATGAATGAGGCTGTGTTTATGTTGAAATGTATGAATCAGATATACATATTTATAGCTTTATTTCATAAAAAGCATTAATTGGATTTAATTAATTAAAATTCTGCGAGTTGAATAATGCGTTTGACGATATAATAATTTGTAATTAACAAAGAGTATAGAGAGATGGAGGGAAATAATTAAGTGTTTCGTTGTTATCAAAGTATCTTTTTTGTTTTATGTGCGATATCTTTCATCGATGAATCAAGGGTAAGTCGATAATGATAGAATTCCTGATAAAATCCTTAGTCGACAGGTGACGCGAAGAATTTTATCTCGATTAACATATCTTATCGAAAAATTCTCTATTGAAATAATCAAGTCTCAAGAATATCTTCGCACTTTAGATTGCGTACTTTTTATAAAAGCCACGCGAAAACAACTGTTTTCCTTGAAACATCTTGATACGATTTAATCGCAAGTAACGCCAAAGGAAGAAAATAATGATATTTCTTAATTTTAGAAACACTTAATTTACATTTATAATATTTTATTATTATGAATTATCGCCAAGGGATACTCAGAATGGTTTGGAAAATGCAATTGCCGAATATATTTTCATTTCTTTTTATTTTTACTAACGAAATCGAGCACATATATCATATTTAATTATTTTATATTTCATATCAATTAACTTAAGAAAAAGTTACAAGCAAAAAATAATTACATGATTAAATAAAAATCCTTAACGACCTTGATCGGTTACGCTTCTTAATGCGCGGACCATTTCTGGTTTGACAAGTCCGACTGGGACTGCTGGGACGAAACTCAAGCAGTCTCGAAAATGCGATCCAACGGAAAGATGCAGGGTACTTTCGATGCCCTGCTTCTATAATAGAATTGCGAAGAAAATAAAATTTTTTGTTTAATCTTTAACAATTTTTTATTGATAAATCTTCTTGTCTAATGTGCACAAAATATAAGTCTTGATTATAATTACATTTAAAAAGAAATTAAAAACTAAATATATTAAGAGAAAAATAGAAATATTAAAATTTTGATTTTCTACAAAGTTTTTTGATTTTTAATCAATATCTTTAAAATTTTCTGTTTTACAATAAACACAAAAATATATTTTAAACAATAAATGTCAAGATGATATAAATTAATGATCAAATTAAAAAGTTAGATTTTGTTTATTGGACGCTTCTTATATAATACGAAATACGTTGATACAAGTAGATTGACCATATGGATTTGCCGATTTTCGAATGGAAAATATATAGCTGCAGATGGTGACCACACAATCTGCGACCACGTGTCGAACATAGAAGCAAACCGAAAGACTGTGAATTATCTGTGAAATCATAAAATGAACGAATAGCACAAAAATGGCACTATTCTTTTATATCGATAGCTTTTTAATCCTCATATGGCGTCTCTTTTTAAATACATATGACAAACATCGATGGTTCAGTTGTTGGAAAATAATGTTGCAGCGTAATGAAAGTCACGTTTCGAAAAAATAAAAAGGAGATGTATACATATGTTGACAGTATGCAATTTGAATGCTGAACGAAGCGATTATTGTAATGCTCATGTGATTGTCATCATATTTATTCTGAGCATTTATTTTAATAGTCGTCAAAGATATTTTACAATCACAAACGAGAAATCATTGATAAAAAACATTAAAAGATTTAAATAATTAAATAATTAAAATTCTATGTACAAAATATATGTATTATTTAAAATTAATGATGGAAGCCAAATGTAAAATAGTAATCTTTAATTTCAGCAAATATTATTTTAATTGAAGGTAAGAATCTAATAACTAAAAAATAAGAACATTAAAAAAATTAAAAAATTAAAAAGAAAATGGCATTGGAACCAATAAAAAATTAGATAGAATGAAATCACAAAGAATGAAACAATATTTCAAAAAAGTTATTCGAAATTATATACATATATTTGCATTCTCATGAAAATAAAATACAAACTATAAAAATTTATCTTTACATATATATGTATTTATATTCTGTTTCTTTTTTATTTATTACATTAATAACTTTTATATTATTAATTTATTTAATAACTTTTATACTATTTCTAAAACACATTTATAATACCGCACAATTATTTTTTAATATTTCTTAATAATATACATTTAATGATTATTCATTAATAATCATTCATGTCTTAATGCATTCAACTTTCGCCTCTAACATCGAATTTATTTATAATTATTTTATTGCGATTACTATTTGCACGAATCCGCGAATATTTACGATTTAATTGTTTTGCCTCTGCTTCCGAAAAGAAGTACCTCTAATTTTCGCCCACTGTGATCCTCATGATTTTGGACCGAAAATGGTCTTCTAAAAGAACAAAAGTATTGCACTGGATCTGTTTGCATCCGGCAAACAGGAGGGATGCCATAGATAGAAGGTTGCGATGAAGGGAAGGGCGAGAACGGTCAGAAACAAGAGGGGGCGGTAAAAGGAATAAAAATTCGGAGGTCGAATCTCCCGGTGATCACAACGTCGGTAAACGGCCTCCGCCACGAGACCAAGGGGGGCAAGCGGAGGGAAGACTCCCGCGGTGGTCAGTGAGTCCCATAAGCACGCGATTCCTGGCCGTCCCTCGGCATCTTTATACGCGTATACGCACACACTTGCATGTCGAGTACGCTACCAATGGTGGGTGGGCAAAGCGGCTATAAGGCACGACGAAAGAGAGAGAGAGAGAGAAGAGGGTCAGCGGAGAGGAGATTGGAAGAGGAAAAGAGAGAAGAAGCGAAGCAAGGTAGAAGAAGAAGGAGAGAACGAGCAAGCGAATGGTACAGAGAAACTGTGAGCTAAACTCTCGGCTTGCTGGCGCCGCTCTGTCGGCCCCCGCTGACTCCCGCCGCCAACAATGCGTGCACTTCTCTCCTTTCTCCCCGCGACCATCGCCACCGCCGACGCCAACGCGCTGCGTCGCCTAACATCTCGGTGGTTATACCAATACCAATAGACGGCGACATCGCTACGATCAGCGGCGCCAACTTCGGAGGACATCAACGTCGCATCGCGAGAATCATTGAGAAATTAAGAATCAATAGGATCGTTAAGAATCGTTAAACCATTAAGTCTCAACCTCGTTATGAATCATTACTGACATCGGATACATCAACGAACCTATCAACTGATACTACTACTATCATGCTACTATCTTGCATCACCTAACATCGTCCATTAGAATTAGAGTGTTGCGCAGGCAAATACTATGAGTACTATGGCTACCACTACTATTATCAGCTGCGACGCTCTTAGCGTAAGTGTGTAGGGGATGACGACGCACACCACTACTATTACCGGCGCCAACGCCAACGCCGAACGCCAACGTTGTCACGGGATCTTTTCCGGCGTGATGGATCCCCACCATCGCGGCATGCTCTCTCGTATACCGCATTTTCGAGTCGACAAAGCTTGTTGGTGAACGAGAGAGAGACCGTGTCCGCGGCGACATCGGGTCGCTAACGCTAGTTGGTGGTATTAGTGCAAGCGGTAGTAGTTCAGTAGTACTACTAGTGTTGCTGGTGTTGGTGGTAGTGGTGGTGGTGGTGGTAGCGCGACGATATTACTGGCGGCGATGGTCGTTGGTGGTGGTAGTGGAGTGGTGTACAGACCAGTCGGGCCTCCCTCGCACACGTAAGAGCGTGAAACGGAGTCGAGAATATACGAAGTGACTCAGTCCGCTGTCGACTGCGATCGGAATAGGACGTGTGTCGTTTTTTATCGAGTTTATCATCTAGACAGACCCGCGAGATTAGTTCGCACTGAACGTCAACTCGCCCGACGAACGAAATTCTGGGATTACGGACCAGCGCCTTGTTACACGTGCCGAGATTTGTGGATCTATATCAGAGGGAAAAAAGAAAAGTGTATTTGTGCGTGGGGGTGCGTGAATCAAGGGAGGAGTGAATCGAGGAAGGAGTGAACCGGTGAAGTGCCGGTGGTCCATGAGAGGAAAATGAGCGAGCACGTGGTGGAAAGTACGTTCGAGCTTTCAGCTTTCATGAAAGGTGAATTTTAATTCATAGTCCGTGCTGCGCTCACGGACTTTAATCGATCGATGACACGAGAACCAAAGCTAAGGGATCATCATTTTAAATTATTGATCATTTCAATTTTGAAACTTGCTTGACATAAAATTCTATTTTTCGTTTCTTTAAAATTAAGAATGACATAGATCATGAAGATTGAAAAATTTGATAATTTAAATAAATAACATGCATTAATTTGTCTATAATTATTTTGGGAAAAAGCATTACATTACATTAATTCAAAATTATTTTAAATTCAACTTAAGTTTTCATTATCAGTTACTTTAAAGGGAATTAGATTTTCGAAAAAAATAAAAAATCTTGACAATGTCAAAATCTTAAAAATTTAATTGAAATTATTAATTTAAATTCAAAAAGTTTCAATGGAAAAGAAATTTTTTTTTATTTATATTGAATGTAATCGTAATGATATCGAAAAATATCTTTTTATACAAAAATAAATCAAAATTGCAAAATAAAGCAAAATGATTTTTTTTCGTACGAAACTTTATTTTAAGAAAATTGACTTTAAAATTCTGTCGATAACGCCTTTTATTTGAAAATGTGATAACAGACTGATAAACTTGCAAAATAATACAAGTAATAAGAAACAAAATATCAATGTTTGGAAATATGTACTTGGGTATATCTGAACGTTAGTCTACAAAGAAACACAAAATTTTAATCTTAAGCACATATAAATTATTCAACGGATTTTTAATATTTTCATAACAATAAAACATGTACATAAAAAAATTTTACAATCGATTTATTTTTATATAAAGAATAATTGCTATTGTTTCATTATTGCTTCGTCCTGTCATAATCAAAGAGAAATTAATCTACTACTCTAGCTTAATTATATTTTACACCATATCAATTTGATTGTAAGATGAGTACAATTTTTTTATTACAATTTTATTACAATTTTATTACAATTTTATTTTAGATTTGATGCTTCAAAAGCTTTTGCTTTTATTTTTTCTCTTGTCATCGATCTAAGCTTTTAATTAGAATGTAAGAAAACTCCAATTTGTGACAAGATTATAGTCACAATTTAAGCCCACTAATATCTCTAACATGCTTCAGACTTATTTCACCAATCTAAATCGTCGATATACATGATTGATATTTCGATAAGATATGACATACAAAAGTATGTTAAAATATTAAAATGCTATAGAATAATATTCTGACACAAATTCTTAACGCGTAAGTCATCCGGCTGATCATTTAAATGCGGATCAATCGATATACATATATACGCTTCTTTTGATGCGGCTCGATAATTATCATTATAAACGGCGCCGATGCGGAATTAGAGATTGCATCTGCTGAAATGAGACAAGAAATGAAGAGAGAATCGGCTGCAGGCGATGATCGAAATGGATATGTATATCAATATAAAGATTAGGCGAGCAAACACGCGAATGCGTAAATAAACAAATACGTGAAACGGAAAGAGTGCAAATATACAAAAACCAACTTTAATATCAGAGGCTAATTTAATTTAAAAATTAACTACTTTTATTTATTTTAAACTGCCTTTATTAACTAATCTAATAATTCAATTTAATAATAATTTAATTCTAATGATACGTCATAAACTTCGATATCAGATGCGCAGGCAATTATAAAACGCAAGCATGTTCTTGCAAAATAATAATTATCGAGACAATTTATATCAAAGATTATTACAATTCACAGCCATAATAACAATGATCATTCAAAGCAATCTTTTATCTAAAAATATATCTTATTCACAAATGAGTCTAGACTATCGTTGTTTACGCGTAAATGCCAGATGATAGTCTAGGTATTTTTGCTAGACATCGAGAAGGTATACAGTGACTCAAGAAGAAAAGAGGAAGAGAGAGAGAATAGAAAAGCGAGAAAGTGAGACAGGAAGAAACGGCAGTAGTGGAGGTGACAGTAGTCGAGGCAACTGTGGCTGCGACGGCGCCAGCGTGGGTCGTCACACACATGTATAGCCATAGAGAAATACGCTCGAAGTATAGGCGACCCTCTTTGACCGAGCTTGAAATCGGTGCGCGGCATCTACGCGTAAACAACAATGCCTGTGAAACAGCAAAATCAACGTGATGCGCCGATTTAATTTAAGGGGAGGGACCGAAATCTAGCGATCTATTTAGTATGTCGATTTTATGATAAGATCACAACATAAAAGCACAATGATGTATTATATTTTATCTCTTCAATTTATTAATGAAACGCAGACAATTATACATCCATTATCAAATTTCGATTAATGATACAATTTATCTGTGATAATAGATATTAAACTTTCTCTTCTCTCTCTCTCTCTCTCTCTCTCTCTCTCTCTCTCTCTCTCTCTCTCTCTCTCTCTTCACTATAGATATCTCGAGAAATGATAAGGCAAAAATCAAAATATCAAACATCCGATTAGTATTAATCAGAAGTAAAAACAGATTCTATATATTCATAAAAAAATATATCTCTTTAATCAATGATTATTCATTGGGATGTATTTGAAATACACCGTTCTTTTAAGAATTTAATTAATTATATTTTTGCTGTTTTATTAATTTTTGAATTTAATGATATTTTTTTACTTTCGTTATTAAAATATCATATCAAATTTATTGTCAATATTATTAGAGCCTTACGAATTAGAATTGGATATTGTGTTATTATTTGCAATATATAAGAATATTTATTATACGAAATTTACTTTATAAATATTATTAGAAATTTTCAATAAAGATAGAGAGGAAGAAAGTGCGTCAGATATTAGCATTTTTTATTTTACTATTATATCGTAATGGAAATCGCCGCTGTATAAAAGGGGAGACATATAATCGCGTTCACTTTCCTTTATTCAAACTAAAAATCGGTCAAGAAATCATATTGATAAATTATTATATCGATCTCTTAACATTATTAATCATACATACGTTGATTGCGCGATACATTTAATCTCTCAATCTCATATGACATATTAGAATCTAATATTTATCAATGCATATTTATCAATACATACGCAATAATAGGAATGCATTTTATGGAAAGTTGTATGGATCGTAGAAAAAATAAAAGATTAAATGAATGTAACATTTAATATTCTTATCTTTCATAAATTTTGCCATTATCACTAGATGTAGAATAATTGAGATTATTATAAATGAATAATGTCATAATGTTATTTAAGAATAAAAATTGATAGTCTAATTTTTTATGATTTTTATATACACAGATTGAATGTGTATTGAATTTAATCATTAATAAATGGTATAAATAATTATAACGGTGAATAATAGATATTTAATACATATTTATACAATATTTAAATCAACATATTTAAAATATTTACGGAAATGTCTTTTTACTTAAATTATTTTTATTTTTTTAAATTCATTTATTTAAATGAACTTTTTTATTATTTTATTCTCTTATATTGATATCTTTAATATACCTTTAATACTATAAATAAAAATTTATTATATTAGTAGCTCATATTGACAACAATAGTCATGACCGTTTATGACCAACATTGATCATTTGTTACAGATAACTCGGTTGATATTTTTATTGACTTCAAAACTGTAATTAAAACTTATCATCAAAAAGCATCACAACTTCATTCTATCATAATTGATCTGATACGCGAAAACATATAACAACAAACGCATAACACAGACACGGTGTGCGTTTTAATTAGATTGCACCTGTCCTTCTCGCGATAAGTATATAATCGAGATAGTGCCTATCGGCTACTGCGTTACACCTAAATCTACGCATTCATTTACATATCTCATCTATCTCCTTGCCCGACCACTTTTACTCTCAAACCAGCCGTCTGTGCAACACGTTATTTAATCTCGACTATAACGAATTGTAACAAAGAAATGATTTCTTGCCAGTTTTACAATATAAATCAGGAAGACTCTCTTTAGTTATCGTTATACGTATAGTTGAATAAGTATATTTTTGCACACATGTTATTCTGGTCTTTTGCGACATCGTCGCAATTCGTATTTCTCTTTTGCGTAGCATCTGTTACGCTTTTTACAAAATTTACTTATGCATACATTAAATATATGAATATTATTAATATAGATATTATCTATTATTATATCTAGGCATTAGATAAACATACAAACAAGCAAATATTGCCAGTACAAAAATCTCATGAAACTTTATTTCTAGATTTTATAAGAAATTTTTTAATGCAAAATATATATAAAATATTTAGATTTTATAAGAAATTTAAATGCTTCTTTTATGATAAAAATTTAAACTTTATCTTTTCTTATCATTTTAAATATTTAAAAAATATTAAATTACAATTCTATTAAACTAAGATTTGTAAGATTTTAATTAAAAATTAGATATTTGGAATTTAAAAAAAAGTAAGATTCTATTATCTTGTCAAAGCTTGTTGTTAGTTTGCAAAAATGTGGTTTGCTTTTAGTGTATATATAATTCAATAATTAGTTATATATTTAAACGTTTCCATAAAGAAAAATTTATTTTAAATTTCACAAAGAGAAAGAAAGAGAACAAGAGAAAGGGTGGAAAAGTTCGTAAACACATTGTATACCAGTATTACTACAATTAAATAACGTTGCATGATTGTTTCTTAAATTGATGAGTACGGTTTTAATACTTTCCCCTTTCCCTTCAGAAGCGCCTCTGACACAATACACGATACAAATTTCGTCTGGAATTTATTGCGCCAGCTTTGACCCTGCCATCGAGAGTGTAATCAATATCTTATTGAGTCCCGTTATGGATACAAAGAATACACAGGACGAAAAGACGCTTTTCCCCTATTTTGTTGCCTTATAATTCTACACCTGCTCTACCTGGATTGATAACTTCAATGGTAGCTATTTTTCATGAAAGAATTTCATTCCTGTCCTTTATTATTTCCGAAAACAGTATTTCATTCTGCTGCTAAAAACCTCTCGGTTTTTCTCACAAAATTGCATAATGTG